CTTCGTTGAGAAGGTTCGATAGATGACTGACACTCATTCTGGAGCTTTTGTTTAGACTAGTCGTGCTCTAATACAAGCACATGTTAGTCTGCGTCTCCTTGGAGTGAGAAGAGCCACTTCAAAAAGACCCCTTATAATTCACCTTAATGATGAGAAAGTCGAAAATATCCTTCACAAAGCACCGAATAAGCAGTGATATTCACCCCGAGATGAATTGGGATGATATCCTAACATTTGTGAAGATACCACAGACCTACCAGTGGCTTAAACCAGGAGTTTAGGAATTATCAATCGATTTCAGTAGTATCTCCTAAATCGGTGACTCACTATGTCAGATTCCGAACATCTACAACCTCAATGAGTAGTAGATGGAGCTCAAACGTAGACTAACAAACAGTCTACGCAGTGATCGTTAACAGTGGTGCGTAGAAAAAGCAAAAGAGATGGAGAAAGCAGCGGCAATAGGTAACAGTAGACAACTCTTCAAATTCAAGCAAATAGGTGTCAAAAATCAGGTTGTTAGTGAGATGATCTCGGATAAAAATGGGACTATTATTCATTCTCAACCTAGGAGATTGGATCGGTCGGCAGAAAATTTTAAGGGACAGTTCAACTTACTTTCAGTTAGCCAATTTTTCCAAGCAACCTGAATGGCGAATTAACGTAAGTCCCCCAACTCTTAAAGCTGAGATTATGCATAGGGTTTTAGTAATAATCCCATAATGACTGATAAGGTAATAAATCTTCAATTAAGGTGACTGGGATATGTAATACGTGTGGCTGTCTACCGACTATCCCGACGCGCGGTGTCTGGTGTCAGAGAAGGTTGGAAGAAAGCTAAGGGTGACAATGTAACTCAATAATCAAGTAAAGGTCCGTGTACCATTTTGGGCCTTGTTTTGTGAGGCTTGGTGACTCCCTGGTACGGCCGAGAGTGGGGAGAGTCCGCTCTCCCTCTCGAAATACTCTCACACGGCCACGCGTATATAGCCTCTGCCAGGGAAGTCCTACTCATTGCCTTCTCGTGGCGGGGGTGTTGTTTACGAAAATGAGAGGACGAGAAGCGAATGTCCGGCGCTTTAACCGGATTCCAAACCAATGGTGCACATGGTCTCCAGTATCCTGCGGGAACGAATGGCGTATGAACCAATCGTTGGTCACCGGCTACCATGGGACTGCATCTCCTTACGATGCTCCACTGCCTTGTGGGTTAGACCTTTAGGTCAAAGGCTCGGGGAGTGGCCCCCTAAGATAACCACCTGCTTCGGTTTGGGCACCCGGGCAGTATCACAGCCCACACACAAATGATGAACTGTTTATGTCTATGGAAACTACTTTTGTCGCTTTGAAAAACAATCAATTGATTCAAATTATGATCACTTCAATTATTGTCATTATTAATACTAATATTATTATTACTACTATTATTGTCATTATTGTTATTATTTTCCACATTATTCACCTTCTTTTATACTTATACAGCGGCTCGTCTTTGGTGGAATTCCGACTGTATCTAAACGTTCTCGAGTCACTGTCCGGTTGAAAATTGTATGTTACCACCGAATACGAGGACTGAAGCAGATTTTCTGAAACCACGTGCATCATTCAAACTGGCTGCCTTCAACGTTCGCACATTTATGCAGGTCGGACAACAGATAGGGCTGGCTATGTCTTTGGAAAGTCTTAATATCGACGTGTGTTGTCTATCCGAGACCCGTATTCAAGACTCTGGCGAAGTACTACAAATTCGATCTCCATCTGTCGCTTCGAAAAGCTTGTTTTACGTGCGCTTATCCGGGGACACTGTGGCATCTTCGTCTGGTTTTGCTGGCGTTGGTGTCGCACTAAGCGCTAGAGCTGAGGCAGCACTAGTCGATTGGATCCCCATTAACAGTCGGTTATGTGCTGTTAGATTAGAAAGTTCCATCAAAGTGAGAAGAAATCGGCGTGAGAAACGATGTCTATTCGTCATCTCCGCCTATGCCCCGACAGATTGCAGCCCGGATGCAATCAAGGATGAGTTTTACCACCAGTTATCAGTTCTTCTCCAGAAAGTGCGTTCGACAGATATTGTAGTACTAACCGGAGACTTGAATGCTCAGGTCGGGCGTCTAGGCACAGAAGAGAGTCGTTTAGGTGGCCGATGGGGACTCGTTGGTCGCAGGTCAGATAACGGGGACCGTCTACTGCAACTTTGCGCAGACCACAACCTGTTTCTGGCTAGCACTAACTTTCGGCACAGTCATCGCCGATGTGCCACCTGGCGTCCTCCCTCTGCATCTCAAGCCTGGACTCAGATTGATCACATCGCGATCAGCTACCGCTGGCGTGGTTGTGTACAAGACTGCCGCTCCTTTTGGAGTACCTATCTGGACTCTGACCATGCCTTGGTCTGCGCCAATCTTGCCTTACTTTTCAGTGGACAACGAAGTGAACGCCATCAACGGATTGATGTTAGCAAGCTGGTTGCAACTTCTGTTGCAAGTAAGTATCGAACCGAGCTAGCCTCTAGGCTAGCTACCACTCCACCGAAAAGTATAGATGAGCATTGGTTGCAATTGCATGACGCCATGAAAATGGCGGGAACAGTCAGTTGTGGGTTTGCGAAACGTCCCGCTTTTAAGCACTGGGTTTCTTCTGGTTCCTTACAACTCATTGAAGCCCGTCGGTCTACTCCAGGTAACCGTGAGTTTGACCATAAACGAAGGATGTTACGTAAGGAAATCGGGCAAAGCTTGCGTAAGGACCGAGAAGCCTGGTGGTCGATGCGTGCTAATGAGCTGGAAGCAGCAGCTGCATCTGGTAACTACCGGAAGCTCTTCCAACTCATCCGAGCCACTGGCAGCAAGAAGTCTGGTGTGAGTGAAACAATCTGCGAGGATGATGGGATGCCAATCACTAACATCCATCGACGTCTTGGACGATGGGCAGAATTTTTCGAAGGGCAGTTCAACTGGCCTGCTGCTCCGGCAACATCGGTCAGACTGTCCTGCCCTCCATGGCCGGTGACGACTGATCCACCAAATGAGGAGGAAGTCCGCAAGGAACTCCAACTCTTGAAGCGTTACAAATCACCTGGCCCAGATGACTTACCTCCGGCTCTTTTTAAAGATGGTGGTAACTTTTTGACTAAGGAATTGACGACGTTGTTTACAAAGGTTTGGGATCTAGAGAGTGTACCAACGTCATGGAATGAGTCGATAGTTGTCCCTATCTTTAAAAAGGGTTCACGTCGTTCTTGTAACAACTATCGGGGGATAAGTTTACTTCCGATTGCGTCCAAGCTATTGGCTTCCGTCATTCTTCGTAGGTTGTTCAAAACCCGAGAAAGATTGACTCGCGAGGAGCAGGCTGGGTTTCGTTCTGGTCGAAGATGTATTGATCATATCTTCACCCTCCGCCAAATGTTAGAACACCGCCATACTTTTCAAAGGCCAACAATCGTAGTGTTTCTTGACATCAGGGCTGCCTTCGATTCGTTGGATAGGACTGTTCTCTGGGATTGTCTATTGAAGAAGGGTGTGCCTGAGAAGTTTATTAACATCCTAAAAGCCCTGTATAAAAACACCTCAGGCAGAGTGAGGGCATACAACCACCTCTCTCCATTGTTCCATTCGAGCAGTGGGGTTAGACAGGGTTGCCCAATCTCACCATTCCTCTTCAACTTTGCCATCGATGACATTCTGGAAACAGCTCTGATGAATGTAAGTAATGGTGGTGTGGATCTGTTGCCTGGAGAAAGACTTCTCGACCTTGAGTATGCGGACGATATTGTCTTACTGTGCGATAATGCCCAAGGCATGCAATCCGCACTTAATCAGTTGGCAATCAATGTCCGTATGTATGGTATGTGCTTTGCACCTTCGAAGTGCAAAGTACTTCTACAAGACTGGCAGGATTCTAATCCTGTACTCACCCTGGATGGTGAGCAGATAGACGTAGTTGAGAAGTTCGTGTATCTGGGTAGCTGCATAAGTGCTGGTGGGGGTGTGAGTGATGAGATCAATGCACGAATAGTGAAAGCCAGAGCGGCTCATGCCAATCTGGGCCACCTTTGGCGCCTTCGTGATGTTAGTCTGGCTGTAAAAGGCCGGATCTACAACGCGTCGGTGAGAGCAGTTTTGCTCTATGCTTGTGAAACCTGGCCTCTCCGAGTTGAGGACGTTAGACGACTCTCTGTGTTTGATCATCGCTGTCTCCGAAGGATTGCTGACATTCAGTGGCAACACCATGTCAGTAATGCAGAGGTTCGGGATCGTGTGTTCGGGCACAGAGATGATAACTCAATTGGTGTCACCATCTTGAAACACCGACTTCGGTGGCTTGGACATGTTCTCCGAATGTCGTCCCAGAGAATTCCACGTCGTGCGTTATTTGCCGACTCTGGGACTGGTTGGAAGAAGCGGAGAGGTGGTCAGTGCATGACATGGTGTCGTGGCATGAAAGAAAGCTGCAAAGGACTGGCTTGTGTTGGTCCTTCACGACTCCCTGGCTGGGGTCCGAGAGATGGTGCAACACAGTGGCTAGAGACGTTATCAGATATGGCTCAGAATAGAAGCCAGTGGCGATCCTGCTGTAACCTTCTTTTACTTTCTTCATAAAAAGTGGTTGTGTCTCCTTTACCTGAAAGATTTCTTCTGATTGTACCTCTTCGTCATTACTCTCTTTTTCTTTTGCGTTCCTTAGTTTTTTTTTTCTTTCTACTTCTCTTCGAATTCCCATTGTTTTGTGTGGCGCATATATATTGGCGCTCTCTTGTACCAATATTTATGTGTTCAAATAAATAAATTACCACGAAAACAATTGGAGATATAGTTATATTTAAATTTGGGATTCAACAGATAAAAGTGGACTACTCATACCATATCTACCTTATTATTCTGTTCCTGCTTAGTCTTTACATTATTTTTTTGAATAAATAATTTTCTGTTTTTGTAGGATAATTACATTTTATGAACTCCAGTAACTTCATAACTCTTTTTATTCGTGCTGCTGCATAGATTCATGGATCGTCATACGATTATTTCATTTTATTGCAACCCTGCTTAGCGATTTGTACTCACAATTCTTCCCACTAATTTTACCAAGTGTGTAATGACGATTGTCAGTTTTGTATCATACTTTTTGGGAGTGTGGGCTTCTGTCTATTTGGTTGACATAGCTCTGCGTACACATTCATACACGAGAAATTGGTACACTGAGATTATTTCTCAGCTGGGGATTTCGTTCAATCTTCTACAAGCACGCTTATTTACACAACGGTTGAACAATAGTTTCCACTATATATGCCGCTTCAATTGTATGCCTTGGAATCTTTGGTTTTCTTGTGGTGTGATATTTGCTGCCATATCAATGGTAGTAAGCATTTGTCTGCTTACCCTGTTGGCTTACAACACCTTGATGCGCAAACCTATTGAAACTCAGGTTCTAATTCCTGTGGTAAGCATTGATAAGAGTTTAATTTCACATTTTCTAATGTTCAGCCAATCTTTGTTATAAAGTGAATAATGCTTAACTATTGTTTGTTCATAATGAATTGGCATTTAGTTCTTCTGTGAATTCTGGGGTTATGACGTTTACAATAAACTACACTTTCTGTCTATACTTTGTCACTTAAAGTAGGTGGTAGCTTTATTGTTATGAGTACTAAAAAAGAAACACTGCTGTGACTTTCCCACTATTGCTTTGACGTATGGAGAGCAAGCACCTAAGATAGATATAAGAAAATTCACTCTTTATCTTTACCTGCCCCGGTTGCAATAATGGGTTTTTCTCACTTGATAAAACAGCAGAGTTGATAAAAAGCGTAATAAAATAAAGGTGACTAGTGAATTCAACTCCCAACTTTTCTGATCAGCAATTTCCTACCGTAAACCATGTAACGTACCGAAATTTCCTTTTGCAAGTCGTCTTGATTATCCCAGTCTGTAATCATAGAATTTGGTTAATATAGCCCAATGCAGATCTCAGTGATATGGTTAAATTCATTCTTTATTTTCCTCTAAATTTTGAGCTGTCATTCCATACTTTTATTCTTCAATTTCACTCATTTCTTTTAAGTACATTTCTCGTATTCACTTTTCCACTTCAGTTGGTATTTTTTATTTTTCCTCCTCTGCTTCTCATCTTGTTAATTTCTTTCACTGCTTTTGACAAAAATGTATCAACTTAGACTGATGCATATTTTTGCACAGGTCTTACATCGTATATGACTGACAGTCTGACAAAAGAGTGAAATTAGATCGGTATTTTCTCTAATATACCTTATTGTTGTAACGTGTGGACTGCGGGTTTTGATAAGCAGCGTATTATCGATCGATTACAGTGACACGTAAGGACGACCTAGAGTCCCGATTGGTCCCGCTTCCCTGTCTAGCCCAGCCAGTTGAGTCTAGAACGCAAGTCACAGCCTCTGAGTTATGAATCGTTATATTTCAAACATACTCTGTTTATATACTAACCAAACAGACCACATCGTACCATAAAAATAGAAAACAACATCTGTACAATAGTTAACGAGTGAAATAAATAATGGCCAATAGGGAATGCCCATTTAGAGTCCAAGGACATCATTAGACTTAACATGATAATGATTGGTATATTCCTCAGCATCCCTAACACTTATACATCATAAAATTCTACTCCATCGCATATTTGCATTTTAATTTAATTTCATTTAATTTCAACGCATAGATATTGGTACAAGGATGCACCAAATACATATGCGCCACCCAAATCTCATTCGATATGTGTGAGGGCTGTGATACTGCCCGGGTGCCCAAACCGAAGCAGGTGGTTTTCTTAGGAGGCCACTCCCCGAGCCTTCGACCTGAAGGTCTGATCCACAAGGCAGTAAAGCATCGTAAGGAGATGCAGTCCCATGGAAGCCGGTGACCAACAATTGGTTCATACTCCATTTATTCCTTCAGGATACTGGAGACCATGTGCACCATTGGTTTGGAATCCGGTTAAAGCGCCGGACATTCGCTTTTCGTTTTCTCATTTTCGTAAACAACACCCTCGCCACGTGAAGGCAGTGAGTAGGACTTCCCTGGCAGAGGCTATATACGCGTGGCCATGTGAGAGCATTTCGAGAGGGAGGACGGACTCTTCCCACTGTCGGCCGTACCAGGGAATTTGGGGGCTTCCGTCGAATTTTGATCCATATAGCTTCAGGTAAAAGACAGAAGAAAACTATTATTATAGTTACTTGTTTTGGTTTTAAGCTGTATCCGAAATCCCAAGCTATCCAGACTCACGGTTTTTATTACCCCTATGTTTTAAAGATAGATCAGGTTATCCCAGTCACATTTATCTGTTCACCTTATCTACTCGCATCATAAACTGACCGTCATATCAACCTCCACATATTGTATTTTTTGTGTTAGTGTCTAGATTCCTAGGTTAATGCATGCTGTTGTCTCAAGGAAGTCCCTCTCAATATTTGAATTGAACTGACTAATTTTAAAATGAAAAGTCAACAACAGGAGTTTCACTTTCATAGTATTTGGAGACTAACCAGATTTATATACTATTTTTCCTTCCGGCTTTTGAATTTCTTGTTCGGCAGTGGTTTAAAATCAAACTTTTTTGACTGTTGTAAGGGCATTACCTATATCCACTAATACAAACTTACTTTTACGACTGCTTATTTTTTTTGTGGGAAATTAGAATAATTTTTATTCTCACTTTGTGTTCCTGATAAAATGTTTTCACTGGGGTGTATGATTTGAGAATTATCCAGTAGCCTATTGCTACTTTAATTAATGACACGTTAAAACTCAAGTTAAAACATGCTTAGTAGAAACTTGTACTCATCCAAGTAACCTATTTTTTAAGCGTACTAATTTTAACGAAAGCATTAAAGTTTATTCTTTTATAGCAACTTTGTACTTTTCTTATTGCCTATTATTTCAGTTGTTTACTTCTCACGGTATTCTTTTTTTGCTGTAGATGCCGGGAATAAACTTACCAACCAGTCATTTGGGATTTTATGCTCTCACATTGCTTATATGCGCATTCATACATGAAGCAGGACACGCTCTCGCAGCTGTGCGTGAACGCGTTCGCCTTCATGGATTCGGAATCTTTGTGTTTGGGTTTTATCCGGGTGCATTCGTTGACCTAAACACTGCAGATCTTCAGAGTCTTTCACCGTTTTGTCAGCTTCGTGTATATTGCGCTGGTGTTTGGCACAATGCCGTAATTGCCGTAATCAGCATAATTATATTTTACTTACTACCTTTCCTGTTATCGCCTGGCTACCACGTAGGAACTGGGGTGGGTGTCACATACTTAAGAGAGGTTAGTTACGGACATTTTAGAAAAATACGAATCCTTTTTTTGTGGAGATTAACGAAAATGTGTGTAATTCAGTACTTTTAATCGTAACAACACTGCTATTCTGGTCATTGATAATCTGATTATACCATTTCATATATTTTATACGTATACTGTGTTATAATAGATAGTTGATTAGTTAAACTACACTTCCCGAATAAAATTTGAGATTAGTGTTATCCGATATACCTCTTATTTACTTTTTCTGAGTTGTGTCGATTGTAAGGAAAAATTTTACTATTATTCATTAGTACGTCTGGCTCACGACTTCTTAGAATCTTTAATAATTTTCCATTTGTCTCACTACCGATACATTTGAACACTCTTCAGGTGATAATATCTAGCTTCCTCTATATTTTTTCCAAAGCATCTTAGGCTTGCAGAAAGCAAAAATTATTTATTATATTTGTAAACAACTAGTGTTAATCCCAATATGAAAGGGTTTTGTCATTTTTAGAACTTTTATTTCTGATTCATATTGAGCTGAAAGGTAAATCAACACAAGACTCAGAACCTTAATACTTAAAAATCAACTGTACACCGCTCTTTTGTAACGCCAAGTTGTTGGGGAGGCCCACAGTATTCCTCGAAAAATGCCCAAAGGGGCCCTGAAGACTCGAAAACATTTTATCCAATCAGCACTGAATAGAAGTTTCTCAGAAGCATTTAGAAAGTAAAGTCATATTTCACATTCTTGATTGGATGATTATTTATCAGGCTACTATGTTTAGTAGGGTCCCAGAACGTTCCAAAAGTTCAAGGCCATCTAAAATGCTATAATTACCTTCAATTTTCTGTACATAAAGTAACCTAATTTTGATTCGAACTGAGGTGTTATGTTCACCCGGCATCCAACTGATTTAATAAGATTGGTTAGTAAATCAACTTCACATTGCCAGTGTGGAAATGATTGAAATATACTGATTACCCCTCTTATCAGTGCTGTTGAACAATCGCCGAAAATGGTAAAAACTTTCCGATACAACTTTGGTGTGACTGTTTGTGTTTCTGTTTTGTTACCCTTATTACAACATTTATCTTTGTGACATACCTCTTATACATACTGTCCTTGTTCTCAGAGGGTCGAGTTCAACTGAGTACGTTGATTGTTGAGTTGTATACAGGAAAAATCATAGCAAGCTGAAAGTCCAGTATTTAAAGTAATTAAGCTGTATCGTTTATATATAATCCAACACTGTTAAAGGTAGCTGATTCCAGCTATCGCGCAGACCCCAATCAGTGATTGAGAACGTTGGGTGACATAGCTCAGAATCGATCATAATGACGCAGATTCATTCACAATTCTTCTTCCTCTAGTATTCTTTAATACATACTTTTTTCATTCTACCTTTCATACACCATATTCACGATGTTTAATCTCCCTCATTATCATTACTGTTACATTATTTCGGTCCCTTTCCCATTCATTTTTATCACATCTTGCTAGTGTCGCATGGGAACTTGTGCCAACGCCCATATGTATCAGACTCTACATTGATCGTTGCTAACTGACTAAATCTAATGTGTTGCTAAATTCGTTTGTTGTAAATCTGGTGCACAAGTTTCATAAAATCGAGAAGAAACTATTGAGTAAATTAAATCCTATGCATACAAGCATGCACATCTCTTCTACTTAATCTCTCCGGTCACCCAACAGTGCCTAATATGGTCTGCACTGAAACATCATGTATAAACATAGTTCTCACATAGTAAACTTGTCATCAAATATATCGTCATTAGTGTTAAATTGGTTTTACTAAAAATTCCGTCCATAAAAGCTTCACTTTTGTTAATTATTATCAGAAAAGGGTTTTGTGGAGATTTCAGTAATTTGATGGTTGAATTCATCAGTCACTTGAAGCTGGATCACCATGGGAAACCTCGAAGCACTGGACGGCTGTCTCGTCCTAGTATGAGACTCCTCAGCAGCGCCCATCCACGATTCGCCTCGCGGGATTCGAACCCAGGGCCTATCGGTCTCGTGTGTGAGAGCCTGACTTCTAGACCACTGACCCGGCATCCAACGGTGCTAATGTCTAACTCCAGCCAATCCACGAAATTGCGCCACTAGTGACTGGCTTCAAGAGGTATTTTCTGTAGTTCTAGTGAAAGGCCGTGACCAATGGGGTTCAACTAGGTCTGTCGTGAGATAGTAACTCACTGAAGGCAATGGTTGACTCATGAATTCAACCATTAAATTACTTTTGTTATTTCACTTATTAGTTTCATTTTAAAATTATGACCAGTCATCTTTGTTAGAACATTATTGAATACTACCATTGCTAAGAATTTATTACCGAATAATGCGATTATTGAGTATGCGTTTCTTATTTCACACAAGTGTCCACAGTTCATTTTTTAAAATGTTTGGTCTTGTTACATAGTACATGTTATCGTTGTCAAGTTACTAGGGGATTAATCGGTCCTGTGTACTTTCCATATAATAAATTTATAATTAGTACGTCAGCAAAAATTCTGTATTGGATTCAATTAAACGAATGCTTTCGTAATTTTTGCACATAGTACTGTTCATTTGACACATTTTTCGATAGCTTATTAAATTGGACGTTATGTTGTAAAAAAATAAACAAAATGTCTTTTTTGAGAATAAAATATTAATTTATTCTAAAAACTACCAGTTAGTCTATACTTTAACTTTTTCAGATCGATTTGAGAGACATTTATGTTTGAGTAGCAATCGTATTTACACTTACAGATTGTCGGCTTCTCATTTTCGTTATCACGAGTTAGAATTCGTTAATAAATAATGATCCTATATTGAGATATTTCAGTCATGGTATACATTTATTTAATGCAAGGAAGTAAACTATAAAACATAACATCGATCGTTCAAAAAGTCCTTTTCCCAATAACAATTAATATCATTCATTGATGTGTAAAATGCCTACTATGAGTCTATACTTTAATTGAGTTATCAACTACACTACATTACGTGTGCGGTCAGTCGTAATCAACCTTCAGCCTGATACAAATGTGATTTAGCCCCAAGTGTTCATACTACATTATCGTGATGAGATAAAATTAACAGGGTAAATGGGAAAAGGGTTTGAATAATGCAGTGACAATGATAATAAGAAAGGCTAAACGCTTAGAATGTCGTCCGAAAAGGAGGAATAAAATGATGGTTAACTTGATATAATAATAATACCATGTGATTACAGTATGTGATGAAAGAGGTGTTAACAAAGTAACCATGTTAACAAGTTCATGTGAATTCGTAATGACGGATGTGTAAATTAAGAATGGGGGAAAATCAGATACAAACATAAAGGGGAATTGGGGAGTAAGTGGTTTATAATGTCTGGTTTAAGTATACGGTGATCTAATTGTGAATGGAGTCGAAAACAGGCTGAACATATCTCTTTTGAGTGCATATGTTAGGTCTTCTAAAGTTGATCCTGATGGCTTCAGCTATGTATACGATTCGTAATCTTGCTGCTTAAGACACCTAAAAGTGCAAAATTGCCACGTTATACATCACAACGAATCATTTTGATCTGTTGTAAATAACCATTCTAATTTACAAATAACCCATTTTCCAAGTATTTATGCCGTAACAATTGCAAAAGTTTCAAGTTATCCTATTCACTAACCATGACTTATTTTAGCCCTTATAACGCAATGATTATGGACTTATGACTGTAGATCCTAATGACAAAGTTATTGAAAATAATTGTTTTCAAATAAAACCATGATAGTTAAGATTGAGTTAATAGGTTTCTCTGTAACTTAACAGAATAAAAGCTTTCTGGGTCATATATCAAGACTACGTACGTTTGCAATATTTACTTTATTACTAAAAACTGAATAGTATTCCCTCATCCTTAAATATTGCATATAAATGAAAACCAACGCACAACTATCACAAAAAAGATTAAATTTACAAAAAAATCAATTCAGTGTTATACTTTAGAAAAATAGTCCTATCCGAAAGGATTTTCTCAACCGTTCCCGAAACACAAATAAACCCTTAAATAAAGTGAATGACATTTTGAGCAGGGTAAGAGTGTATCGATGATTCATTGTTCCCGCGCTAAAATCGTTTAATGATGATGTTATAGGTTTTGTACTTACGTAAACCAAGTCGGTTTTTATCTTCATTAAACCAAATTATAGTCAGTTAGATGTTATAATGTACCAAGAAAAATAACTGACTTGGGTTTTCTTGATTATGCCAAAGTGGTATGTTTAATCACTTTTCTACTAGACATTTCAAAACACTTCTAGTCTACTGAGTTGCCATTAAATCATTTTCCTAGGTCTTGCTAATGTGACTTTGATATTAACCATTGTTCTTGTAGATGGGATCCTCAACTTTTCTGTTCATCAAAAGTATTTAATTGTATGATGCACAATCAATTCCTATTTGGTAAACAGAACACGTGTGGGGACAACCAAATGTATTTAGCACAAAATTACAGAGTTACTCGCTAAAATAGAAAAACCATATAATAAATCGTTAATTTGCAAAATATCAATCCATCATATCAAACCGCACTGTTCCTGTTGTCAACATCAATCCATTGTCTCACATTTCATTGTTCATGCGTTTCCTCACAAATTGCATTGTGTTCCCGCTCTTCCTTTCTTGATCTTCTCCTATCTTCTGCTGCCAGACATTGCGTTTTTAACTCGCGTCATATACTACTTATATCAATTTAGGTAGCACACACCACACCTATACTGAAGTTCAAAAAATCACAAACTTCATATAGCTCTTGGTTAACTCCTTTGATATTTATGTATGAAGCACAGGTCATTTGTACACGTTCTGTAGGCTGTTCTCGTGAATGACAATGGGAAATTAAAAGTCCGAGATGGGTAGTGTTTCGAATAAATCAATGCAAAACGTTCACCTACGCAGCAGGCAATCAGTGAGAGCAAATGTAGAATTTAGCATTTAGCCTGAGTGATTCGGTTCTTATGACAAGGTAAATAGTGTACAAACTACAGATAACCAATTAAATTACAAATGACAGATGTACACTTAAAAAATACATGAATATAATTGACAGTCACAAATAAGTTACGAATATGAGATCATATGTTAAATAATTTATCTGTCCAAAAGTTAGGATAGGTTCGCGTAGGTTTTAAGAACAGTCAAGACATTTTCTTGATTTCTTTTTCAGGATTCTGTCGTCACAGGGTATCGTGGGCTTGCTCTTGGTGATGCTATCACTCGGGTAAATTCCTGCCCAGTAAATCAGCAATCTGATTGGTTCAAATGTTTAGAGGAGGCATACATTCATCCATCTGGCTACTGTGTTTCTGGAGCCTATTTAAGCATGATAGATAATAAAGCCTCTGTTCCACGTCGTAGTTTATCCGCGGTTGTTTCTGTCAATAAATTGGATGAAAATGATAGTTTCGAATCAGTCGGTAATCAAAATAAACTGAATGAAGATTGTTGCACAGTTCAGTCAGCGTCGACTCATTTGTGTTTTACCTACATAACACCTACAAAGCTGAGTTCTACAGTAAGATAAAGTTCCATTATTATTTAATTCAGTTTTAATTGTGTTCTCATTTAAAATTATTTTAGTGTATTTCTAAATATATATATATATATATATATATATATATATATATATATATATATATATATATATATATATATATATATGTAGACAGATAGATTATTTGTGCAGTGATTTTACTGCTTAAATTTTAACAGTGTTATTATTACTGCTACATTTTTTAATCCATCTGAGCGGTAATAAAAGTAATAGTGTAGTTTTGAGTTGGTTAATGAAATCTATTGTCATGGTTTTTGTCTATAATTTCTTTAATACTGGTTCGGTGAATTCAGATGTTTATTTTTACTTAAATCCTCTGTTTTAAATGTAGAGTAGGGCAGTCCGTTAAAATCTTTGTGATTGCACCCACATAATACTTTCCTGAAAATTCAACCGTAGTATTGTCGTAGTCAATGTAATGGGAGCAAATAGGTGCATATATTCTATTGATTTTAAAATAGTCGAGTTCATCTGATTTATATCTTGTAGTTGATTATCTTCGAGATAATTCCTAAGGCTTCGTATATCACTTATCCTGATAACTGTTATTAGATAACTCAAAATGATGTATAGGTTTCAGAAGACAATACGAAGTGTACAGTGCAGATCACTTAACCATAAGCACACAGCGAATTCGAGTAGAAACGCGAATCAAGCGTTGTATTAATTGATAAGATTTAAGGAATTATTTATAGGAAAGCGAAGAGTCACGTGCTATTTAAGCAACTAACACTTAAGCTAGTAAGACGGATATGTGTGTAGGCTCTAGCACGTGATCGAGCACATATGTTCATACAGACATACTAATAAAAGGCTTGACAAAACTAAACGTAAATAAACTTAAATGTAGGTGAGGTGCTGTGTTATTCTTATAAAACACATGCGTAATTGACTCTGTGTATATGTTCCTCCACCTGATAGTGATCTCAACATACTAAAAACGTGTACTGAAGTGTCGAAATATTATTGTAACACATCATCATTGTTGATACGTTCATATGGCCGTTTGTGTGCGAAGAAATATTTTATTGTATCACACATATCACCTGTACTTTTAAAAAAATATTAAATTTATACTTGTTTTCCAAAATAGCACCTTGACTGATCACCTCAACTAATTAAAATAAATATCTAAATCATTTGGTTTTATCTAAGTGCTTTTTTATATAGTTTGTTTACTTGACACGTTATCATAAAGATTTGTTTTTAACGTTTGAACAAGCATTATTAGAGTAGATCCCCGTTAACAGTCGTCTATGTGCTGTTCGGCTAAACGGTTCCGTAAGAACTCGGGAGTATAGGGATACGCGTCGTTGCATTTCCGTCACTTCTGTCTACACTCCCTCTGACTGCAGTCCGAATGGAGTGAAAGATGACTTTTACAGAAAGCTCTCTGGACCTCGTCAGAAAGCTAAACGTTCAGATATAGTGATCGTAGCAGGTGACTTTAATACTCAAGTAGGTAGTTTAAACCAAACAAAAAGACATTTAGGTGGGTATTTTAGTATTCCGGCACAACGAACAGATAATGGTGATCGTCTGCTGCAACTGTGCTCAGACAATCGTCTATTTTTAGCAAACGCAAATTTTAAGCATAAGGAGAGACATCGTCTAACATGGCGACCCTCTGTACCAAACCAACGATGGACTCAAACAGACCATATTCCCATCAGTCATCGTTGGAGAGGGTCGATAGAAGATTGTCGCTCATTCTGGAGTACCTGCTTGGACTCCGACCATGCTCTGATACGGGCACGCATTTGCATCCGCCTCACTGGACTCAGAAAAGCCATACTAAAAAGACCCATTAGAACTGAATTGAGTAACGAGAAGACCAAAAGTCTGTTCCAGGAACAACTGAGGTCACACTTAGTTAGTTCTGAAAACGAGACTGACCCCGGTGTTTCTTGGAAAGATATACAATCAGTTGTGAAAACGGCAGTGACATCTGTTAGCGATTTAAACCAAAGAGTTACAAAAAACCAATGGATTTCTTCTAAGTCTATTGCCCTGATGAATTCTCGTAAACTCGTCCCATCAGGCTCTGAACACGATGATGAGCGAAAACAAATCAGATCTAGGTTAAGCAAAGGTATAAGGAACGACCATGAGCGGTGGTGGGCAACGGAAATAAAAGAGATAGAAAAGGTGGTGGCTATAGGGAACACAAGACAGCTCTACAGACTAATAAAAGAAACTGGAATTAATAAGTCAAGTTAAAGTGAGACTATCTCGGAAATAGACGACGCTCTCATATGCTCCCAGTCCAGACGTTTAAAACGATGGGCGGAACATTTTAGAGAGCAGTTCAGCTGGCCTTCAGTTACTCTACAACTACCCACCATGGAACATTAAAGTAGGTCCCTTAATTGTAGCTGAAGTTCAAAAGGCTATAGTTAATCTGGAACGAGGAAGAACAGCTGGTCCAGATGGATTGGCTTCAGAGGTCTTTAAGGATGGTGGTCCGATTCTAGCGATTAGTTTGACTAATATTTTAGCTAAAATCTGGGAGTTAGACGTAATCCCATCTGACTGGTCACAATCACTGATCGTCCCAATATATAAGAGAGGGTCAAAATCATCCTGACTAACATAGCATCTAAAATACTAGCATCAATAATTGTCGGTCGACTAACTAAGACTCGTGAACTGCAAACACACGAAAACCAGGCTGGCTTCAGACCTGGTCGTGGCTGCATCAACCACATATTCACCATTCGTCAGGTTCTAGAACACAGGCATGCTTACCGGTGTCCGTCAATGGTGGTCTTTATTGACTTAAAAACAGCATTTGACTCCGTAGACCGCGAGATTCTGTGGCAGTGTCTGTCATTGAAAGGCGTACCTCAGAAATACATAAACCTTGTGCAGGCTCTTTACTTGAACACTACTAGTCGAGTCAGAGCTTATGGCGAACTGTTATCTGCTTTTGCAACCTCAAATGGTGTCCGCAAAGGCTGTCCACTTTCTCCATTTTTGTTTAACTTGATCATAGACCTACTGATGGAAATAACGCTGTCGTTGACTGAGTTTTCGGGCATTGATCTCCTACCAGGAGGTCCACTTAAGGACTTGGAATACGCAGATGATATAGTCCTGATTGGTGAAGACGCTGACAAATTGCAGAGTCTTTTGGTAGCATTAAGTAACAATGCTAGAATGTTTGGGATACGCTTTTCCCCCTCTAAATGCAAGTTGTTGTTTCAGGACTGGCCTGCGTCAAAACCTGAATTAAGGATAGGGGGTGAATTAGTCGTACGCGTTGACAACTTCACTTATCTTGGGAGTCTGATCAGTTTAGATGGTGGTTGGAGGTAGTCAACAGGAAACCCTGGACCCGGGTTTCGTGCTACTTGGCACTCGTCAGCAAAGTGTACCTGTACCCAGCTTCACAATCAAAGACGTTACCACTGAGCTATCCGAGCCGTGACTAACCTCCTGTAGCACTGGGATGTAGTCACAATTGATTGATCACTGGGTGGTGATCAATGTCATGCTGGGTGACACGAGATCGAATCCGCCAGGGAGCGCCAGTTCCCTCAAGATTACAGGTACACCTTGCTGACGAGTGCCAAGTAGCACGAAACCCGGGTCGAGGGTTTCCTCTCGACTACCTCCAACCACCATCTAAATCTCAATACATAGTACCCGCAGTGTCGAGTCACCTAGACCGGTGGCCATATTGCAACATGATCGATAGCATTTGACCTGCACTAATAAGGACTAGACAAGCATGACATTGATCACCACCCAGTGATCAATCAATTGTGAGTCTGATCAGTCCTAATGATTCGGTGTCTGACGAAATCTCAGCACGGATTCAAAAAGCTCGTCTGGCTTTTGCCAATTTTCGTCACCTATGGCGAAGGCGAGATATCCGTTTATCAATAAAAGGACGACCAGTTGTGTTCGAGTAGAGAGCCTTTACAAGGTTAATGTACTTCTTTGGTACTCCTTTCAATGACAAACACTGCCACAGAACCTCAAGATCGACAGAGTCAAATGCCTCCTTAAATTCCAGAAATACTACGATTGTGCGGCGTCTGAATGTGTCTATATTCTAGGACCCAAAGTAGTGTGAATATCTGGTCTATACAACCACGTCCAGGTCGGAAACCAGCCCGGTTTTCTCTAGTCTGCTCTTCACGAGCTTTAGTTAGGCGTCGAAGTATTATTGAAGCTAATATTTTAGACACTATATCAGTCAAACTGATTCCTCTGTGATTGTCACAAGAAGACTTTTGTCCTTTCTTATAGACCGGCACAATCAGTGATTGAGACCAGTCAGATGGGATTACGTCCAGTTCCCAAATTCTACCTAAGACCTCAGTTAATCTCACTGCTAATACTGAACTACCATCCTTACAACTCTCAGGAGTAAACCTGTCAGGGCCTGTTGCTCTCCCTCGCTTCCAATTTCCTATGGCTGTTTCAACTTCGTAAAGAGACGGAGGACTTACATTAACTTGCCATTCAGGTTGACCGGAGATCGTGGGAAACCGAAGTGTGGCTGAATGCCAGTTGAACTGATCCCTGAAGTGTTCTGCCCATTGATCCAATCTCCTGGATTGAGAATGTATAATATGTCCATCTTCCTCTGAGATTGTTTCGCTAACAGTCAGTTTCCTAATACCGGTTTCCTTAATAAGTCTGAACAATTGTCTGCTATTACCTATTGCCGCTGCCTTTTCCATCTCTCTTGCTTTCGCTACCCACCACTGTTCACGGTCATTGCGTAGACTTCTTGTCATCTTGCGCTTAAGCTGACTCCGCTCTTCGTTATGTTAAGAGCCAGATGCGATGAGTTTTCGCGCATCTATCAGTGCGGTATGTGCTGATGAGATCCAGTGTTTCTCTCTAACCTTGTAGTTTGCCGCACTAGCATATATCACTGCTGTTTCCCCAGCTTTTCGGATATCATTCCATGCTGCCTCGGGGTGGGCATCACATATATGGCTGCCTAACTGTTTTTCTAGTTGTTCCTGAAATATAATCTTAGCTTGACTATCATTATGTAGGGCCCTAAGAGGTTTCCTATATGCTCTATAATGAGGGACACTTATGTATTCAACTTGTGCCTTCAGTTTCTCTGTTCTTCGACTGTTGTTATTTGCTGTTATCTTGTTCCTCCTTTCGTGAATCTTTTCCTTGTTTTCGATGGAGATTCATTTATTATGATGACACTTCTTGCGGTCCAGCTCCTCTTGACACGTTGAAGTTAGTGCTTCCTCGATCGTTTTACTATGGTCCTCCATAGTAGTTTCTTCTTAGAGTAGATAGTGTTAGTCTTGGAACATGTTGTTGAGCGCTGTCTTGAATTGGTCGAGTTTGTCGATAGGCTGTATTGAACCGTTGTGTTGGTGTTTCTCCAGTTGTCCAGTGCTTCTTTATCTTTAGTTTCTTCTTGACAACCACTAGACGGTGATCCGAAGCTATGTCAGCTCCTCTCTTGGTCCTCATCTCTTCCACTGACCTTCTGAACTTTTCAGTGATACAAATATGATCGATTCGGTTCCATGTAGTGTGATCCAGTGAGACCCATGTAACTATGTGTATGTATTTGTGGGGGAAATAGTGCCACCGATAACCGTTTTGTTGAATGCGCATAGATTTCCAAATCTCTCGCCATTCTCATTCCTTTCTCCTAGTCAGTTCATATTGTCCCACGATATCTTCATACCCAGTGTTGTCTATTCTGACTTTGGCGTTTAGGTCTCTCATCAGAATAGCCATGTCCTTTCCTGGTCACTTCCCTACAGTCGAATGCAGCCTCTCATAAAACTGGTCTTTATCGTCGTCGTTGATGTCATTTTCTTCTTTGTGACCAGAGTACAGCAGCGTCTCTCCTTCCTCTATACTTTCCTGTCCAACTTATGTCCAATGGGTTTCATTTATTCCACGCACCTCCAAGTCGTACCTCATTTTCGTAGCTATTTAACGGGTCCTTTCGATCTACCACATTGTCCGGACGTCGTATTTACCCATAAAAATTGTTGCTCTGGTTGTTAGAATGGGCATAGGTCTGATGATATATAAAGTCCTTCAGAAAATAAATGTTTTTTTGTCTTATTTTACTGTACATGTAACCAATCATTTTTTGTTCTACATTTCGGTATCAAATTAAAATTATTTATTTTATTGTTGACTGCCCAACATACTGGAGTTAAAAATTGGTTTACAGTCTCACGTTTTGCGTGTTTTATTTAAGTTAAACAATTCTAGCTTTGTTCCATATTTATTGGTCTTTTACCAGTTTCACAATCCTTATGTGTTGCCTGTTTGCCATAACTTAAAATATTTGACTTGAATTAATGTTGTTTTTCAGTCCCGAAGATATGCTTGCTTGCCGGCACGTGCTGTAACTGAGCGTACCAGCTGCAATGTGACCTCTGATTGTGGTAATCTTGGCGCTATGCGTGGCAATAACAACGGAATACAGAGCGAATCACTGGGTGTCATATCTACTCGATCAATGTATTGTGTTGTACCAAGCCCCCCAGACAATTCCACTCGTCTAGTGCGCCTAGTGCATAATCGCCATAAAGCCCCTGCAATTCTTTTCTTGGGTCCATTGGAAGATCTTGTAGCTTCTATAGGGGTTTCCGACTATGTCCCACGTTGGCCTTCCATACTTTCACCAAATTTGCCTTCCTTCCTTGGATTACTATGCACGTAAGCAATTTATATTTTAATTGGTTGTGTCGAACGTCCTGTAAAAACCATTATTTGTACTTCGTGAAAGATGATCCCATTCATTTTACTAGAAGCTAGTATACTAATCACTTATTACCCAGCATCTCAGCTATGTCAGAGTAGAAGCTTGCACTCTATTCATTAAAGCTCAAACGCCTTTTTATATGGCTATTTCGAACAAATTTCGAATGAAGAAAATAAAAGTTTTGCGAGAAACAGTTGTAATTTGATCCATTAATTTTGAAGAATAAAGGATGTAATTGTGTAAACAATACCCAATTTTCTCATCATTGATTATACCTCTATCCATTCAGTGGAAAATGCAATGATCTTTAAGTTCTTTTTTTTCAACTAGTGTATACTTTATATATATATATATATATATATATATATATATATATATATATATATATATATATATATATTAATGCTATTATTTGTCCACATACATTTAAACTGCTTAATTTTTCTAACGCTAACCAGATCATGCAAATGATACTAACAATATCTACAATAAATAGAAATGAGGTAATTTAAGGGGTATTGTTATAGATTTCTGAAGCGTGAACAGTAAGTTTAATACATTTACCATATGTCGTCTACCTCGGAAAAATGTCTAAAATCGGGTACTTTGTGATTGAGTTATAAATTGACGTATTGAATTTTCCATATTTCTTCAGTATGAACTTCCTTAATTAATTGTTTTTCAACAATTAGGTATCTGTTCTCATTGTCCGGTGCCCTCGTGATACTCAACGTTGTGCCTTGTTATGCTCTTGACGGTCAATGGATTTTGAAAGCGTTTTTGGATTTATTTCTTCCAGGCATATTACCATCGCGTCCGAAAAGGAATATGGTTTTTACTGTTGTTCTTATCCTTGGTAGTAGCCTTTTGGGACTAAATCTATTTCTCGCAATTTTGTATCTATGTCTTCAGGCTAACTACACAGGTGGTCTGTCGAATTCCATAAGTCCAATAACTTCTGTTAATACCTGAATAAAATTTTATGCGTTTAATTGTAAAAAGTCCGAAACTGTGATTCATCACTCAGTATATTTTATCTTTTTGCTGTCTGTGCCTTTATAAATCTATTTTCTACTGAGTCAGGGTACAAATCTTTTTTTTCCTAAGTATACATATTTTTCTTAAGTTCATCTTATATCTAGTGCGTCTCGAAAAGGTCGTTTATTCGACATCATTCCTGAAACTGGACAGATAATTGCAGGTAGTTAACTCTGTCTGTTTATGGTTGTGTTATCGAGTCTCGTCAAAATTGTACTGCATGCGATAGCTTCTGTGCCTGAAAGTTAAGCAAAATGAGATTCATAGGACTTCACGACTGTTACCCTAGAAATACACGCCTTAGTCATATAAGTCTTTAGTATGTATGCATCAGACTGAACACATTTGTCCATGTGTAGTCATAAGGGTGTGTTTGTCTCGTAGTCTAAAGTCTCCAGTATTATTTTCCTTACATAGTAAGGTTACGCAAATGATCTACAGAGTAACTAGTAAGCAGGAATGAAAGTGATATGATCTATTAATTCAATGTGATTATCGCTCAATTGACATTCGGTCATGTTTTGGAATTTTTTTCTATTGTAATCTGGCAGATTTCTGAATGTATTTTTCTCATCCTTGAGGTACATTTGTAGAATTATGGTCTACTATGATATTAGTACTGCTCTAATAATAGACCTAATCCTAAATTTGTAGATTTGTCATGATATAACTGCCTAATCTATAAGATCTTACGTGGAAGTCACACCATCGACTACACCAACTCACTGTATCGTATCAATTACCAGTACATTATGTAGAACAAGGTTAGGCTAGAGAAGGAACAATATATTTAATATGAATAGAAGATATAAAGTAACATTGAGATGGACCACGCCTGCATGGACGAGCCATGCCATCCGATCAAACCCAGTCCATTCAATTCATTCTTCGCGCCTTCTCCATCGTTAGGTATTTATCCGCGTTAAATATTGAATATCTACTTTCTGAGTAGTCTCGTGTTCAGCTTTGTGGATTGTGCGGTTATTGTTCAATGCCACTACACTACTCTCCCACCAGAATCAACGTGATGTTGGTTCGATACCGAATTGGATGGGATCGTCGTGCGCCGAAGGTTACCAAGACTAGGAAGAATCCCCGGGTAATGATAAGCTGAAAGATAAATGAAAAAGGCGGCAGCATCTGGTCGGGAAATACATGTAATAATTTTAAAATATCTGCCTTCATGCTTAAAACGCTTGAAATGAAAATTTGGGTGAAGATTATTTGGGCTATAAAGAATGGGGTTACAATAATAAAAATAATAATAATAATGAAACGATGCGTGTTAATAGCCGTTGGTTAATAACTTAACGTATAGGTAGTAAGTATTTTGTGTTTAGAAATATTAAAGTGATGAATATTGTAGAAATGTTAATATTGGTATTAGTTTTGGTTTAAATTATGAAATCAAATAACGATTATGCCGGTAAGTTGTCCATATGAGTTGAATTCCAATTGCATCTGTATTAGTAGGCTAACTGAAGGAACAAAAGTATACCGTGGAGAAGAATTCCAACTAGTGTTCCAGTTAGTTTGATACGGTTTATTTAGTTACGGGGAGATTTTCTCAACCTCATTTTTACTTGACCGTGATAGAATTTAGTAATACTACTGATACACATGAATGGTTATCAAAACAATATTTAAATACGTGAGTGATAATTATGTGAATTTTGGACAGATAGCTAGAAACAAATCGTTAAACATGAGTGTATTCGTAAGAGACATGCTCTAGACTCAATGTTCTGAGTTGCCATAGACTATTTATACATATTTATACCTGACCGCTGACGATGCATACAAGTTAGTTGCAAGTATGCAGTTTATCATAAGGCGGAATACGATTCAATTGAGATATAGTGATTATAAGTTACTGAAATCAGTTAAGTCTATATACTACATTACTAGGTGATATGGTGCTGTAAGATGTACTCGGCCAAATACGTTTTTACAAGATGATTAACCGTGAGTGATGCTCATGTGATTATCAGGGAGTACATAAGTTGTAACCAAGGGGAGTACACTCCCAACTCATGTCCATGATGATGGCTTGAACCTTAGTCAGTGTTGGGGTAAATTCGACATTAATGTTTTCAGTTTGCAGGAGATTTGCTCGACTGCTTATGCTGATTATTTGCATGCATGATTGTGTCGCTAAACCATCAATTAGACTGACAAGGTTTTGAGATATTTACTGAATGAGCAACTAATAGAGAAACATACTGTAATCATCTGTGATGGATGAAGATACCAAGAAAACAACACTAGTGATAATTATAAGTCAATTTGTTGACCGATTTTGTTAATAGTTTCATTAATTTTATCAGTCATATTACGTGATTGTCAAGTTATGACAATGCTTTATGACGATATCCTGAAACTATTAAATTTAACTACTTATAGTGTTGACTGAGGATTAGTCAGTGGAAAAATAGGTATTGTTGCTTTAGGTGATTCGAAATCATCAGAAACTTATAACGTTAAATAATCCGAGACGCCTAATTTAATTATAAATTTCAATTCAGAAATATTCGTTTAGTGTTAATTTTAGTAGGCTACGGAGTTTTGATTTTAAACGTTTGTTTAGCCAACAGCTATCTGGGGATTTGGTTATTTTACTAGTGCAGTTGACAGTACCTAAATTTTTAATCTTATTATCTAAACTATGTTCGCATTTTAGGCTGCTAATATGACAAACCAATCCATAAACCCAAATACGATTAGCAACAACGACTATGATGGGTTTATTGATAAATGTTAAAGGCGATTCAGATGATTTCTAAATTTAGAAGACATGGAGATATAGTGTAACGTATGTATGGGCCAGGTTAACATGCAGGTTGTTGACGTATATGACGATTTAAAAATAATGAGCATGACCAGAAAATAGTTTTAAAGTTTAGACTGCTTGTGAAACTTCAGGCAGGAATATGATGCGTTATAAACATTCCATAAGGAGTTACTGCATTTAGCCTAGGGACACTTACAAATATATAGCAAGAGGAACCGGAAAACATATACATGTTAAGTAAAAAAATCATTAAGTAAAATAGTTGAACTCGCCTGGGTTATTTTTGAAAATTAGATTATTCAGTGAACGACATATATAACGCCATTCGTGAGGAGTAGTAATGATCCAGAATAAAACATGCAGTATGGCAATTAATCCCAGGGTGCTTGATGCTGTTGACGTTTTTGCCACTCGCTCGGATTAGAACAACCGAATGAATTCAGATAATTGTGCGGTCACCATTGAACGAGCCATCTAAAATGACCTTATGATTGCAGAAAACTTATGGCTGAAACTCACCGTGTTTTTAGAGAAGTGTCATCCTTGTTGTTTGGCAATGGAACTCGAAAATTTGAAATTAGGCATGCAGTGGTCGGAAGAAAAGATATTACAGGATAGTGTATAGTTTAAAACAGGATGAGGTAATAAGATAAGGAACACTGAATATTAGATCCAGGTAACTATTTAGTCCTTGCTGCATTGTTAGTCAATGTATATTTGCGTTATTTACTGGTCATATTTGCTAGAGCTTGATGCTTAAACAAGCCTATGTCGCTGAAGCATGTAAATGCTATTAAAGCTTGTTAACGAACCATCAAAGCTAATTAGTTAATATAGACGACCAGTTTTTATTATCGAATGAGCTAGTAAGTTATGTGAACTAATAGATATAACATTACGATAATATATGTGACCATTAATCAAAGGACTATTAGAATAGTGGGTTTACAAAAATAAAATCCGATTGAGAAGGTTAAGGTGGAAATAAGGATTAACAATAATAGGTTGCGTTTCTTTAGTTGGGCTCACCAATGTAGAATTATGGTCTACTATGATATTAGTACTGCTCTAATAATAGACCTAATCCTAAATTTGTAGATTTGTCATGATATAACTGCCTAATCTATAAGATCTTACGTGGAAGTCACACCATCGACTACACCAACTCACTGTATCGTATCAATTACCAATACATGATGTAGAACAAGGTTAGGCTAGAGAAAGAACAATATATTTAATATGAATAGAAGATATAAAGTAACATTGAGATGGACCACGCCTGCATGGACGAGCCATGCCATCCGATCAAACCCGGCAACGCTCCTAGGGTATCGTCCACTGATGGGAATTGCGAGCACTTGAAGGTCAAACTGTAGCAAACTGATTGGTGCGTCACATCGACAATTCGTGAAAATTTTCAGAAGCGGTCAAATCAAGACATTTTTAGATTTGAATTGAGTTCAGCCACATCATGTCTAGTAACGTTCATTCTTCAAGTAACGAAGACGATGCCATCGTGATGATGCATAATATAGGTAATATGACTTCTGTGGTTAATAATATATTTTTTAGTATACGCGTACTAAGTACGTTATGTCAGTATGCAAAGAGAACAGTGATGATCCAACTCAAAAGTACTTTTTCGTGAGTTATGTCTGTGCATATGGACGTAAACGCAGTTCGTTAGAGTCAGATGCTTGCGTTCAGGATGTAGATGATGATAGTAATAATCATTCTTCTGAAGAGCATACAACTTCTAACTCGCCAACACAACCTAGGCAAAGGAGACGACGTCGGTCATCTACGTATGCCTTACTTCAAATGAATTTATCCTTCAGGTCGAAATATTGCGCTTCAATGACTACATGCTGCCATGTGGTCATATTTTGTATGCACATTCTAAAGATCTGATTCGTGGAGGTATGTGTAATCCTTTATCTCTACATGTTTTGTAGACTTATTTCGACATAGCAACAAGTGGACAAGAAAATACATAATGGACCTGGTTCTTCGTGCGCTGGACAACATCTCAATCTCTACAGGGAGTGATGATCTGCTAGAGAAGTTCGCTAGCGACTACCACTCAATCCATGCTCTTAGTGAACCTTTGGCAAGTAAACTCATCCGTTCGTGCCTCGAAGCATCGGAAGACATATGTGCACAATTGATGAGTTCAGTCGGTGCTAATGACGAAGCTACAACGTCAGAATCCATTGTTGATACAGACCATAGCTATGCTTCTTGATAACAAGAAGTTATAATATTGTAATGTTTTTAGTTTTACATAAATTCATTTATATGGCCATTGACTTATTCTTATAGCGTAACGGCAGGGAGTGTACTGTGCAGTCTTATGTAGCTGTGAGACAGGGGTGTTGTTTCGCGTTCTTGTGTAATAATTACCAGTTTGGCGCACACGCGATTAGTCATACATACCGTTTACCAAATACTGCAACCTTGAACATGGTGTACCATACTAGTAGTTCGAATTTCGACCTGTCACGCTTATTTCCTTTATCTCTTGCGTTGCTTAGGAAAGTCTGGGTCACAACATACACGGAATGTATTATTTAATTCTTTGGACAGATTGCACTTCGGAAACTTCGACGACGAACATATATAAAGACTGCTGTGTGAATTTACTTTGAATCGTCCTGTGTAACCTGCAGTTCTTGATGCATATTCTATTCTAGTCCCACGTAAGTTATGAGTAATTGTCATTTACGGCATCAGCACGTAAGCTAGACAGGCCTTGGTTGATTTCCGAAGATCATCACATAGGACCTCACACAATCTGGTTACCTTAGATCAAGATATCTTGACTATCGATTCGTACTTTTCAATGCTTTCTCGTGACAGCTTTATAGCAGTACTTATTTCTGCTATCAGGTATTTTGGCAATAATACCGGCAGCCAAAACATTGTAGCTCCCCAGACAACCCAAAAAGGGGTAAATGCTTTGGTAGCGAAAGGGGAAAACGCATCAGAATGTCGACTTTTTTTGCCGTTTTGTCGATAAATTACTCACTTTTTGCCTAAATGTCAGCTGAATTGTCTGCTTTTCGCCTAAATACACACAGAACTCCCTATTTTCCATCCATTAACATAACCCCAAAGGTCTACTATGTTCGCCTTTATTTTCAACAACAGACCAAAATAAATCTGCAATACAGTGTAAAACCGGCATGTTTTTGAAAAATTATATTTAAAAGGTAAAGCGTATTATTGTACAACACTAGAGCAGAAGCTTAAGCATCGATTGTTTTGCATATCCAATGCAATTGCTAATTCATTGTTATTTGAAATTATCTGCAAAAGAAGAAACACGTGATGTATTATTTATGAGGAATGTGCATTTATTCAAAAGTTCACTGACACTCAAACACACATTCTCAACACTTCTACAGTTTCCCATGTAAGTAAAAAAGTAAGCTGTTTGAAAAATATTTATTGAAATGTAGGTAGAACATCAAAACAATTGCACGGCTATTGAGAATTGAGGTAGTCGTCCCGTGAATTCAGAATTTAAAAAAAGAAAAAAGTCACAACCATCTCTCAATGACATGCTTTGGTACAGCCAAATAATTGTGTAGATCTACAAAAGAGGTAGTAATGCTATCTTAGATTGGTCTTTGGCAGAATCCCCACATAATTATACCTCTACCGCATGATTATGATTTAATTCCTGCAATACAATCATCTGGTGGCTAATATATCTAACTGTAGGAGGTGATATTAACATCTTAAGATATGTGTTATTATCATCTATAGCATATACATAATATTTACAGCACTCAGGACACCTTATGTTTTCACTATAAACCTATTTCTGCCATAAAAGTCGAACAAAACAGTGAAAATCAGCAGAAATTGTGATAAAGATAGGAAAAACGATAAATCTTACCATGGTATCGTTAGTTGTAACGCAGTTTTGGTAGCCTTGACGACAATACAATTTTTATGACGATATATGCCTGAATCTTGCTATTTCATATAAAAATAAAAGAATTGTCTACTATCAGTGTATACCTAACTAGAAATAATTGCTAATCTGCGATGCAAACACCGAAAAACTATTATAGCAGCACCTGAATAGTGAATTTTCAAGGACTTCGCGATACCATGTAACGCAAAATGGAAAAACCCCTTTTTACCTAATTATGAAAACGGAAAATAAACTTTCAAATTTATTCATAATGTATTTCGAAATTTGGTTGTGCACAAAGCAGAAATAAAAAAGTAGCGCAAAACAGTGTCGCGATACCCCTGGAGCGCTGCCATCAAACCCAGTCCATTCAATTCATTCTTCGCGCCTTCTCCATCGTTAGGTATTTATCCGCGTTAAATATTGAATATCTACTTTCTGAGTAGTCTCGTGTTCAGCTTTGTGGATTGTGCGGTTATTGTTCAATGCCACTACACTACTCTCCCACCAGAATCAACGTGATGTTGGTTCGATACCGAATTGGATGGGATCGTCGTGCGCCGAAGGTTACCAAGACTAGGAAGAATCCCCGGGTAATGATAAGCTGAAAGATAAATGAAAAAGGCGGCAGCATCTGGTCGGGAAATACATGTAATAATTTTAAAATATCTGCCTTCATGCTTAAAACGCTTGAAATGAAAATTTGGGTGAAGATTATTTGGGCTATAAAGAATGGGGTTACAATAATAAAAATAATAATAATAATGAAACGATGCGTGTTAATAGCCGTTGGTTAATAACTTAACGTATAGGTAGTAAGTATTTTGTGTTTAGAAATATTAAAGTGATGAATATTGTAGAAATGTTAATATTGGTATTAGTTTTGGTTTAAATTATGAAATCAAATAACGATTATGCCGGTAAGTTGTCCATATGAGTTGAATTCCAATTGCATCTGTATTAGTAGGCTAACTGAAGGAACAAAAGTATACCGTGGAGAAGAATTCCAACTAGTTTTCCAGTTAGTTTGATACGGTTTATTTAGTTACGGGGAGATTTTCTCAACCTCATTTTTACTTGACCGTGATAGAATTTAGTAATACTACTGATACACATGAATGGTTATCAAAACAATATTTAAATACGTGAGTGATAATTATGTGAATTTTGGACAGATAGCTAGAAACAAATCGTTAAACATGAGTGTATTCGTAAGAGACATGCTCTAGACTCAATGTTCTGAGTTGCCATAGACTATTTATACATATTTATACCTGACCGCTGACGATGCATACAAGTTAGTTGCAAGTATGCAGTTTATCATAAGGCGGAATACGATTCAATTGAGATATAGTGATTATAAGTTACTGAAATCAGTTAAGTCTATATACTACATTACTAGGTGATATGGTGCTGTAAGATGTACTCGGCCAAATACGTTTTTACAAGATGATTAACCGTGAGTGATGCTCATGTGATTATCAGGGAGTACATAAGTTGTAACCAAGGGGAGTACACTCCCAACTCATGTCTATGATAATGGCTTGAACCTTAGTCAGTGTTGGGGTAAATTCGACATTAATGTTTTCAGTTTGCAGGAGATTTGCTCGACTGCTTATGCTGATTATTTGCATGCATGATTGTGTCGCTAAACCATCAATTAGACTGACAAGGTTTTGAGATATTTACTGAATGAGCAACTAATAGAGAAACATACTGTAATCATCTGTGATGGATGAAGATACCAAGAAAACAACACTAGTGATAATTATAAGTCAATTTGTTGACCGATTTTGTTAATAGTTTCATTAATTTTATCAGTCATATTACGTGATTGTCAAGTTATGACAATGCTTTATGACGATATCCTGAAACTATTAAATTTAACTACTTATAGTGTTGACTGAGGATTAGTCAGTGGAAAAATAGGTATTGTTGCTTTAGGTGATTCGAAATCATCAGAAACTTATAACGTTAAATAATCCGAGACGCCTAATTTAATTATAAATTTCAATTCAGAAATATTCGTTTAGTGTTAATTTTAGTAGGCTACGGAGTTTTGATTTTAAACGTTTGTTTAGCCAACAGCTATCTGGGGATTTGGTTATTTTACTAGTGCAGTTGACAGTACCTAAATTTTTAATCTTATTATCTAAACTATGTTCGCATTTTAGGCTGCTAATATGACAAACCAATCCATAAACCCAAATACGATTAGCAACAACGACTATGATGGGTTTATTGATAAATGTTAAAGGCGATTCAGATGATTTCTAAATTTAGAAGACATGGAGATATAGTGTAACGTATGTATGGGCCAGGTTAACATGCAGGTTGTTGACGTATATGACGATTTAAAAATAATGAGCATGACCAGAAAATAGTTTTAAAGTTTAGACTGCTTGTGAAACTTCAGGCAGGAATATGATGCGTTATAAAC